AGGAGATTCATTGTGAAACTGTCGTCTAGTTACTTAAATGTAATACATGTAGCAATACGTCGTGTCCAACATACATATTTTGAAGATGCAGAAGATCTGATAGCGAGAACGACAAATGATCTCATGTCAGTAACGTCAATGTCAATGTTTCAAATATTGAAAATTTATACACTTTGTTATCATATTCTGTAATATTTATATAGGTAAAAAATCTTCATAATATCTTTTTAGATCACGCATACAATTTGAGCAAACCGATGACCAAATCTATCAATGAAAAATACAATAACTACGTGCAATACATGAATCAAATAGACACTTCTAGAATGGCAGATGCTTACAACTCCGCCATTTATGGTGCACGTGACATCATCAACTCACAGTTATCACCTTTAAAGACAAATAGGGTTTATTATCAGGTAAATCATTACTTGTTTCTTATTAATGAATCATTTTCTGAGGAAAAATGAATAGAAACTTTGAAGAAATGCACTTGCGTTAAAAAGACATATGATAGTGTAAATATAAAGGACTATTTTAACAATGCTTAAGTGTACTTTTTATTTAAAATGTATTTCATTGTGAATTCAAAAATATTTAAACAAATGATCAAATAACAGTTAATAGAATTTTTATGCATATGCAAATGATATTTTAAAATTAAGATTTTTCTTACAGGGTTATAATGCATACAAATACTGGGAGATCCGGGAAAATACAGAAATGGTTGGAAAGGCTGTAGCTGAATGGGTGAAAGAAGAAATTGAAAAAGAACTATCTGATCTCAAAGCTTTCGTCTTGAATCTTATGAAAACCAAAGTTACAGTTTATGATCCCAGTAACGGAGAAATTCAAATGGAATTGCATCTCCCAGTTCCTCTTAAATCACTCGATGTGATTCCAAAAGTTGACATTGTTCCATTTGTAACCAGAGCAAAATCTTTCATTCCAAGCATGTCTTCGTTGTCAATGCCATCTACTGATATAACATCATGGCTTCCACCTTTCGATGGTAATTGAAATCTTTTAAGTAATGAGTAGATAATATTGTATAATTAGATTTTAAAAAAGTTGAACAATATATTGTTATTAAGACAATTTAGATTCACAGAAAAACAAAGAAATGTTCTACATGACATATTTTAGTTTACCTTTGCTTAATTCTAACATTTAAGTTATTCTTTTTCAGCCATGGCAACAATCGAGGGAAATAAAATTACAACATTTGATGGTGTGACATATGACCTTGACAACAGCTGTACATTTATGCTTGCTCGTGACTATGTCAATTCCAACTTCTCCGTAGTTCTCAACAGGAATGGCAACAACAAGACCATAGTTATCATCAATGGTCAAACTTCAATCAAAATATTCTCAAATGGAAAGGTATCATAATCATTTTATTACGCTTAGATGATACATTATCATATCATGGTTCATATTTTTTCTTTTCAAAATTGAAGATAGCTTATATATGCTTTTATACCCGCACCTGTAAATAACAAGTTAAAAAATATTGTTCAAGTTTTAAAATTATAAAATTTCTGCATTATAATCTATGAGAAAAGGTCGTGTTCTGCAAAATAATTTCATATAAATATCATAATATAGAAGTTCTAATGTAATTCAGGCAACATTTAAATAACTGTATGTATCTTTATTTAGGTAACAATTAACAACAAACAAATTGATCTTCCCGCTATTGTTAATGATGTATCACTTACATCCCTTGATGGTCACGTGTCTGTTAATGTTGCTGGACATCTGAATGTTGACTACTACCAGGACCTCGATACATACATGGTCAAATTAAACGGATACTATTACGGCAAAACCAACGGTCTTTTGGGCTCCTATGACAACGAACCATCTAATGATATGATGACGTCATTTGGAAAGGTCACAGACTCAGCTGAGAGATTCGCCAAGACCTGGGACGTCGGATCAGAACGATGCCGTTAAGACAAAAAACTTTTAAATGACCCCAACAAACGGACTCAAATGAGATAAAAAAAAATTGATTAAACTTGATTATATTTATTTGATTTATTTTCAAAAAACACTGATTCTAATAAGTTTCACAGTTTTCTAAACATTTCACAAGAACTATTTTAATATTTTTAAAAAGGTTATGTTTATGAACTATATGATGTATGTCAGCTTTTTACCACTGTGGTTATGATAAATGTACTCTCGGTATACAAACACGCTTCAAATAAAATTAAAAACAATAATGACTTACAACACTGTTTATGAAATCAACTCAATAAAACCATTCAAAAGCATATACTTTCGTTCATTTTGATTTTATTTGATTTTATTCTGAATAAGAAATGTAGACAGGTATGAGATATGCCTGTTTGTAACAAGTATAGCCATGTAGATAGGTATATGTATATATATATAGGTTTGTGAAAAATATTTGCATCTACAAAATACCTTTCAAAAACACTGGATCCCAAGGATACAAGAACGTGGAAAAAAACAATAAATTAGGAGAAAATAAACTGAGAGCATCTTTATTACTTTCACCTTATCGTAAATTTCCACTTCATATAACATCACACTGTTTGGAACTTGCATTTTCTTACATCATACTTTTAGTAATAAAAACACAAAACGCCCTAATATGTGAAGTTTAATATATATATTTTTTTTTAAAAAAGCATAGTTTTATAGATATATTTAACCGAGTTTATGCCATATTGACCACAGGCTATATTTTCTTTTGTTAAGTACTACACAATGACCATTCAATAACGGTCTATTCATAATCGATGTAATTTTATCACCTTTCTAGCGACTGTGTTTCAGTTCAATTTTTGATACTATACAGTGCACACGTATTGAGATTTTGTGCTCTATTGTGTGCACATTATACATGTAATACACCCCTGATGAAGGCATAATACGCCGAAAGTGCTTGGGTATTTATAATTTAGCACTGTATGAAATTTATATATATATCAAAAAATATGTCAAAAACGCATTACATATTTCATGATATTATATATGTGAAAATCAATCTAAACTATATTTATTTAAACAATAAAAAAGTCGTTTAGTAACTATATAAGAGAAAACGCCATAATATACCTACTTTCTTTTTTGCGTGATAAACATTAATAATCCTATTAGAGTTTTTTTACAAGAGTTGTATAACTTTATTGGCAATAAATAGGAACCGTTTCAATCTTAATTTTGTTTAAGCTGACTAGAAAAATCTTCATAAGCAAATAGAATACAGATGAACAGAATCCCTAGAACGCCCAACAAGACAAAACTGTTCAAGATAATGAATCAAGTCAAGATAATGAATTAACTTGTGTGTACGACTTTTGTCATTGAAATAAAACATCATGAAATGCATAAACCACTGTGAAAACGGCAAAGGACTTCATGTCAGTGGTGTTAAATCAATGTGATAATAATTTTTTCTTCCAGCTTCTATCACATTTTGTAAAATAAACCTAGACCACAAATACAATTTGAAAAAAACTTACAAAATTTTTATCAATGAAAAACACAATAACTACGTGTAGTACATGAACCAAGTAGATACTTCTAGAATGTCAGGTGCTTTCAACTTCGCCAATTACGGTGCTCGTGAATCAAACCTATAGTATAATTAAATTAAAAGTGATTTATCCTAGCTTAATTGTAAATTTCTTTTTACCTTCTTCGGTAGTGCATAAGTTGATAAAATGCATTTTTACGGCGCACGTACATAGTTTAGGTCATATGGTGTCGATATTTTTGCTTACCTTGCGTGCTACAAACATTAAGCAACACCAGGTCACCAGCTGGTGCTAAAAGATGCATAGACTCCAAAAAAATCGAAACCGTTTCGTCGCCGAAATCAAACAAGAAATCACAAGGACCCCGGCACAGTGTCGGGATGGTGTAAACATTATTTTTGAAAAGAGAAATCATACCTTTGAATGCTGAAATATACTAAAGAGACAATTCCAACGGGTTTAACATGCCAAATAGGCTAATTTTCATGAGTTCAACATAAATCTAGATTTCACATTCATTCTTAAGTAAAATATTTAAAGCTATATATCAAATCATAGCAAATTGTCAGCTCTAACTGTTGACTATAAATATAGTGTATTCTTTTGAATCGTTTTCTATAGAGCTGTCAATGAGTCACTGTAAAGAATGTTGACGATACATCGATATTGGATGCTAAATATCGGCGATGCACCTGTATATCGATAAATACTCTTAATTTATTGTTTATAATTCACAAATGATCTTAGTAAATACATGTTCTGTTCATACAAATACTTTGTGTCCTGTTTATAAATGTACTTTGCAAGATTTTTTTCTGACCATTTATTTTTCATCACTGAAATGAAATGTGTCCATATTGTAACAACAGTTTGTGTTGGACATGGCCGCTGCTTTTGTTTTTTGATGAATTTCCATAATTCATAGGTATTTAAATAATAAATCAAAATTATCGATTTTTTCAAATGTGTATCGCTTATTTATGGGGAAAAATATAAACCATACATCGATATCGTCTCTATCGATGACAGCTTTAGTTTTATACCAATAAATCGACGCATCAAATGTAATCTCGTTATTTTGACTGGTCGGACAAAATTGTGCACCTGGACGCAATTTCCAAACTGCTAATATAATATATTGCTATAAATCAATTAAATACATTTAAATAAACAGATTACGGTCGACAATTATTTTGATAACATTTGAACCAACAGATTCATAAATTTGAAAGTGAAAGTAGCGTTTATCTGTTTAACTTTAATGGTATCATGTGACCAATCTGGAAAAGATGATTCCATGGGCTGTTTAGACATAGCTAACTAGAGATGGAATCAAACATGTTGGGAAAAGAATAAATTGTTTTGGTGTTGAATTTTGTTGTAATTTTTGGCAATTAATAGAGGATATTGAATGAGTGTAGTTTAATACTAAATTTATTGAACTAGTTGAATAAAATCATATTATGCGAGCCTCTGGCGAGCATAATATTGTTTTATTCAACGAGTTCAATAAATTGAGTATTGAATCTACACGAATATAATATTCTATCTATCACATATATATAAAATAAGAACAGTAAACTGTTAAACTGAGTAATTTTTCAATCACGCGCCTATAGCGTAACCTAACATTAGTGCGCTTTAACGCTATGTTTCTATATATCACAAATGACGTCACGTCAAAGTGTTATTACACTAGTGTAATATCGTTTTCATTAAATGGCTTTATTACACTCCTGCGCAGCGGTTTATGTGATAAAAAGTTATAAAGAAATGATTACATCATATACATGTTTATTATAATATGATGAGAGCTATACCAGCCTACAAATTAACTAACCTGAAATACGATTCCAGATTTCGCAATCCCAGATCCCGGATTTTTCGCCCCATCATATAAGCCCAAAATACGTTCATAATACAATAAGTTTATTGATTATTATAATCAGTTGCCAAGTATTGGTGCAAATTATCATTCACAACAAACACGCATTTTTTCATATTTTCATATGATTCGAAGCAAATGGTACACTTTGTATTGGCTGAGAAAAAAAGCAATTTGGATACATAATGTTGTTTATTATATATACATAAACATTTGTTTTTGCTTTTTTGTCATTATATTAGTCATTACTAAATGTAGATGTAAACAGTTTCATTACATCTTTTATACACATTTGTACAAAAGAAACAAAATCCTTAGACAAGCGAAAATAAAAATTGTTGCAGGCTTTCATTAACGTCCCCAAAGCTCCGGCTTACGCAGATTTCAAGCAAGAAAATGTTGAAATTTTGAATTTTGAAATATCATTAAATATGTTCATACTAAGGTGATAACATTGAACATTCTACCTGATAGGTAAGTGTCATTTCATGATTAGAGGTGTATGGTTTCATTTTTAAAGTCCTATTCAAGAGAACATTTATAATAAACAAAATTAAAATAAGATGAAATAAAATGCAATTTAAAAAGGGGAGCAGAAGTAATGATACCGCATATTACAAGCAGACGTCAAAACACAAAATTTTCAAAATAAGACAACATACCCCAACGCCATTTATACAGCTTTCCAATAGGAATACTGGAACTACCCAACAAGAAAAATGTAGAAGAAAGTAAGATAGCAACATACACGTCAATTATATCTAGCTGAACGATCAGGGTATCTGATTGGATGTACGGGGCGACGTCCACACGCCACAAACGGCGCTGATGTGGCAAAAAAATATAAACTAAAATACATTGTGGGAAATAATAATGTTTTTCTTTGTTTACAAGAATGTTGACCTATGCGGATTATTTTTTGTGAAGTTAATATTGAAAATGCTAACAATCTCTGCCAATAAATTAAAACCTGTAGATGGAAGGACTATTATTTTGTGTGAGGTTAATATTGAAAATGCTAACAATCTCTGCCCATAGATCAAAACCTGTAGATAGAGGACTATTATTTTGTGTGAAGTTAATATTGAAAATGCTAACAATCTCTGCCCATAAAATAAAACCTGTAGATAGAAGGACTAAGAGAGTGTGTAAAATATGTGAATCAAACTTAATTTAAAATTTTGAAATACAAATATGTTAGAAAAGGATATATAGACAATTAATATTATGAATGTCAAATTGTTTCAATAATAAATGTTAAGATAAAAGACCGAGGTAAAGAAAATTTTCAGTTTCAAATTATTGACATAGGGAAAAAATTACTTTAAAAGTCAAAAGTCACTCACTCTTTTCTGAATCAACGATGAAAAGACTAATGGTAAAATCAATTTGCCGGGCATTCCATAGAATTTCAAAAAAAATATAAGAGAAACAAGTAAAGTCAATTACTATCGCTACAGTTGTTTCAAATTAAAAAGAATCTGATTTTGTTTCAATATAAAGCCACTTAAGCAAATGTTTATTTAATTGTCCTTTCAACTGGGCCAAAGTAGAACAGATTGTTATGGCTTTAATTTGTTTTCATGTTTTGATATTTTGCTTGTTTCATTTAACGCCTTTTCAGTCATATAGGCGGGTAGTTTCCTAACCATAGTTCCTGGAGAGTTACACCAGTACTAGACTACCTTCCTCCGTGCTAAACTACCAAAGCATCTCTTGGGGATCGAACCCACGCCAAAGACGTAACCCCTCGACCACGGAGGCGGTATACATGTATGTTAAAAAAAATGGAACATTGAAATTATTAAAAGTGTGGCAGAAGCTTGTTCAGATCAAATTTATTTTCAATATAATATAAAAGTCATCGGCTCTAATCCTTCGACC